GATGGCTCTGTAATCATAAATAAATTGTAGCCTCCTGTAGGCCAGAGTTCCAGCAGGTGGATGCCCTGGATCCAGATCTATTGTGTGTCCTGTGGCTGTTCATTCCCTAGGGCTGGTAGGCTTTCATTAACCTGTCTTTGTTATCAATGTGTACTCTGTTCATGCCTATTTAAAACCAAACGTGTATGGCATATCTTTTCAGACATTTCACACTAATTTCCATAACCAATAACTACCACTTTTAGTAAATTAAATCTCAAAGTTAATACATCAAATATGTAAACTATTCTTTGTTCCTTCCCCAGTAGCACATGGTAATCAAAATACCTTTTCAGGATGGCAATGTAGCTTAGTGATAGAGGGCTTGCCTAGCATGTATAAAGCCCTGGGTTCAATTCCACAGTACCACTATACAGAAAAGGCCAGAAGTGCTAGCCTTGAGCAGAAGTGTTAGCCTTGAGCAAAAGAAGCCCAGGGCCAGTACCCAGGCCCTGAGTTCAAGCCTCAGGACTGACAAAAAAAAAATTATTTTTTCGTCTTTATATTTGCTTCGATTTTTGGTTGTTCAAAGTACCTATTCCAAGGGACCTAAAGTTTTCAAAGGTTAAAAAAAATTGAACCACATCATGTTTGAAACAAACACAGGTGACAAATACCAGCAGCCAACTGCTCTAATTAACATTTCCTAACTCACCCTGACTACAACTTGTCTGGTAATTCAGAAAGTTCTCATTTGTCTTCCAGAACAAACATACTTATAGGACCAAGACACGATGTATTTTTTATTTATTCATCAGGAAAAATGTTCTAAATATAGAGCTATTCTTTTTAGAGCTCATCTAAGAAGCAGAAAAACAGCCTGGTGTTGCTTTTTCCCCCCCTAGATTTCCAGTGCCAGTAAAGAGGCTGAACTTGTTTTTACTTGTAAACAGTACAAATTTAATATGGAATCCTCTAGAGCATGCATGTGATCTATTTTTATTACTCATGGTAATCTTTTGGAATAGGTGTATTAATTGACAATATTTACTATAAACCTCCACAGGAAAATATAATAAGTTAATTTTCTTTACAGTGTTTTATAGTGCCTGTTGCTCCTAAAGGTGGGTCCAATTAATTCTACCAAATGTTTTCACAAGATTTCTGACTGAATTCATATTTTACCATGGACTGTTTGGGCCTATGCTTAATCTCGTTCATTTGTTCACAAGTTCCAAACTTCTTTGGACAGCTGTTTTCCAATCTCCTCTTTTGGTTGAGTCCCTTGGCCACCACTGGTCTCTTTCTTTCTTCCAGAATGTGTTTCTGGGGAACATGAGTAGCACCCATTTCAAAGGAAGGCTTCTCACCTTCTCTTTGACACAGGCCATGGATCAAGTGCTACTCTGCCATCTCCCTGCCTGCCCTGACTCTGCTGCTACAGCAGTGTGCGGGGGCATCTCTGTGTGAAACCTCTGCTCTACGATGTTGTCTATCTCCTAACCTTAAGAACCCTGCCCTTCTCTCGTGATACAGCCCTACTCTAAATCTAAAGATGTGCATTTTGTTCCTCTACCTCAGTATCTCAAGGAGAAGAGCCTACCAGCCTCTACCTCCTCACAGGGCTCTTTCAGAAAGAACAGATTTCATTTACTCAAAAACTCTCCTCTTTGGAGTTCTGCCTTTGTTATACAAACCGCCAAAGCCCTAACGATTTTGACTATGGCCCACAGTCTTTCTTTCTGACCATCATTAAAAAGCAACCCCATTTTTAGGTTCCCTTGACTTTTTTTTAGGGAAATACCAATTTGCCAGCTTTTGCCAAGTAATTAGTGGAGCTATCTGATTGGCTCTGGTAGGGGTGAGGGGGACACATAACCCAGGCCTTGCCAATGAGAATCTGACATTCTTCTGGCTCACTAAACTCTTTTGGAGAAGGCTCTGGTCTTTTTTATTCTTTTTTTTTTTTTTTTTTGCCAGTCCTGGGGTTGAACTCGGGGCCTGGGCATTGTCTCTGAGCTGCTTTTGTTCAAGGCTAGCGCTCTACCACTTGAGCCACAGCTCCACTTCCAGCTTTTAACCCAGGGTTTCAATCATGGTAGGCAAGCACTCTCTACCACTAAGCCACATTCCTAGCCTGGCTCTGGTCCTTTTCTGACAAGTGAGAGCCTGGCTCTAGAGTTGCTAATGAAAATACTAGGAAGAGAAGCTATTTTTTTCACTAAGGGTGGTATGATAAAGACTGCCCATCTCTGTCAATACCAGGGGAAAGCTGCCTAAGAAGGGAGCCAAGATAGGAAGTCAGAGATATAGACCTTCATCCTCTCACTTGGCCACCTGGATCCTGCTGGGCCCAAAGCCACTTCGCTTGGGGCTTTTCCACTACGGAGCCAATGAATTCCTTTTTGTTTGTTAAGATCATTTGAAGCTGGTTTTTGCCATTTCCAACCAAAAATATCACAACACAATCCACTGGTGCCAAATAACTAACATTCACTGAGATAGAAGAAAAGCAGGGTTGACTTTTGCAGGTTTGTAAGGCAGCCAAATGTCATCACATGAAATTTACTTCTGTTTTGTTCTCTGGTGTTGCGCTGCAATTTAAAGAGGGAAAGGATAAAAGGGCCCTCTCAAACAGGCTCAGGGGTCTCTCTGAGGACAACTAAACCCCCAGACATTGCCTGGGTTTCAATTTGTCTAAAGTCCACCTTTCAACTACTGTTTTCACCTCCAAAGCCTCTTCTAGGATCTATTTCTATCAATTATTATCTCTCCACAACACACACACACACACACGCACACACACACACACACACACGCACACACACACACACAACCCAAGCTCCCCAACTCTGGGTTTCTACTCTTTAACCCACGTTTCTTGCATGTGAAACAATAAGCAGAAAAAGCCTTCACTATTACAAGTCATCCAAATGAAAAGTAGGTGGAAATATTAACCAATGAAAATGTTGACAAGTGAAAAATGCTAATGATGGCTGTTTCTAGTGGTCAGATCATACCTAATTTTTCACTTCCTTAAAAAAATTCGTCTTCTATGTTTCCCAAAGTTTCCTGCCATTTCTTTTGTAAGGAAATATATTGACATATGCTTCCTCTTTCTGCCACCAAGGAAAACACCATGCATCTGCTTCCTCACTCGCTTCTGCTTCAACTCGACCATTACTCAATCCACTCCACTCAAACTACAATCATCCAGTGGCATTTCTGCCTCCTGTGGCCCTCTTTGGAGCATCATTCATCCCCCCCTCAGCTGTTCTTTTCCTCTTCCTTCCACATTAGTCACTCAACACAGCTTATCAGTGGTGCTTCCTAACACATCCGCTCATTTCCAGGACACCCACCTGCCAGCTGACCCCTTGTGGCCTCATGTTCATTCCCGTTCTGTACCTGCCCCCTACTGCCCACACACATCCAGTCCTGGATTGTAAAAAGTAAATGCTGTCTAATTACTTAGGGATTCTTGACTCGATCCAGGGGATACAAGTAATAACTGCAAGGTTACGTAAGTATAGGGCAGTGTCTGGGGAAGGCATGTGGTGACAACATCTAAAAATGGAAGAAAAAGATCGGAACACTGGGAGAAAAGAATGAGGCAAGGACTCAAGGCTCACTGCAATTAAATATTTTCCCTAATAAACACAAGCACTGAAGCAATTAATGACTACTTCTTTTGTGCCTAAAGTCCCAGAGAATTATACTACTCCATTCTCATCTTCTCAGAATTTTTCTTTGTAATTAAAAAAAGAGTTTCTATTTTAAATATTGGATCAGGGACAACAGTCAAGCTTCATCACTCTCCCTTTCCCCAACATCTGTGCAAGTCTTTTAGAAAGTCTGGACACTTCTTCCCTAGGCCAGCAGGAAGTTATTCAAGACTTGCCTGTGCATGGCAGTCTCACCCCAGGCCATTCCTCAGCCACAAGGAAAACCAAAAGCATCCACCCCTCCTTTACTCACGCTAAGTTGATCCCTGTTAGTGCTTGTGGCCGGCCATCACCCCAAAACCTCAGTATGTGAATCATAAATCCTTCATACTCCACCAGTCAGTCTTGACATCCCACCTATCTGGAGCAGGAAGGCTGATCTCAACTTCCACAATTTAACTACAGTCTTAGACACTGTCATGTCCTTACTATAACTGGATCACAAGTAGGAATATACAAAAGAGAGGAACTACAAAAACACTGTAGGGAAATGTCCCTTTATTAATGTTCTATTATGGCCTAAAGATCAATTCAGTGATGACTACTTAACATGATGTCTGGGTCTACTCTCTGCAACTAAAACAAAGTACATGAAACTGGGAAATTTACAAAGAAGCTTATTTGGTTCAGGGTTGTAGGTGCTGGGAGGTGATACCAGCATGTATTTGGCCTGCAGCTGCATCATGATGTAGCAGAGGGTGAAACAGAGCAAGTGTGTTAGCTCAGGTCTCTTCCTCATCTTATAAAGCCACAAAAATACCATCATCAGGCTCCCAACCCTTATGATCTTATCTAGTACCTCCAAATACCATTAACATAAAAATTTGAGGAATGAGTTTCAACCACACAAACCTTTGGGGGACCCAATCAAACCATTGTAAAGGGTCATATGTATTCACCTGAATATCTAGTCATCAACCTTACAACAGTTCAGTATGTATAGGGCAAATGTGTGACTCCAGTCTTTCCTCTCTGTCCAGCTTTAAGACACTGAGGTATCACAAATGCTATATGCTAAATTCTATGATCACTCATTCTTACTAGAAGTCTCTACTCAAATTGGAATAGAAACACAATTAAACATGACCCTATCTTAGGAATGGGAGCTAAAGTACCAGGGTAACTGAAAGGTTAAGATGGCAAGTCATAATAATACTCTTCAAATGGCACTTATTTGTAAACCAAATTATAATCTTTATATGTACATAAAGTATTCTCCCATCTCCTCAGCCTACAAATCTCTAAATGGCACAGTCATGAAAAACAGCTTATAATATGGAAATATGAAGTACTTACATATCTTTAGCTGCTCCTGTAGGGCCTAGAAGGGAAAAGAAAAGGACAGTTTTGTATTAGTGTGAAAATACTGCTACTGAATGTTTAGCCGAATATTTAACTGCAAGAATATTCTAGAAAAGACAAAAGTATGGTTTAAAAAAAGAAATTTCAAAAATGTAAAAGAGAGATACAAGCCAGGCACTGGTAGCTCATGCCTGTAATCCTAGCCAGCCTGGGCAGGAAAGTCTGGGAGACTCTTATCTCCAATAAACTCCCAAAAAGCCAGAAGTGGAAGTGTGGCTCAAGTGGTAGACAAAGCAAGTGGCAGCAAAAAGAAGCCCAGGGACAGTGCCCAGGTAGAGGAAGGGGACTCAAGAAAATAACCAAACTCAATTCTTAAGCTTTCATTTTTAGGTTTGGAGCTAATTCTTCTTATTTTGAGCAATTCCTATAAAAGACAAACTATGGGTTCTGAAAAGAATGTGATCCAATTTTATCTGACAGATGAGGAAACTGGCAGCTGTGGAGAAGCCACACGTCTTCTAGGATAGCAAATACAATGTGTACCAGAGTCACACAACACAGTAGATACCACCACACAGGGAAAGCACAGGGCAAAATGGAGGCAATGGACTCCAAGAATCAGGACATCTCAACACCACCAGTCTAGCTCCAAAAGGAGGCACAGGCATTTCTATCTCTGCTTCAATTGCTCACCAAACCCTCTCACTCCCGTCTCCTACTCCCAGCCCCAAACAGAACACCTCTGTTGGACAACACTCCTACCACTCAATACAAATTTTCTGCCCTTACTTCCTACGGATGTCTGTCTTCATCCAACACACAGAGGTGGAATTAACGTCTCTAAAAAATCTCACTTCCCTCCTGAGTTAAAGGAGGGAAGAAAGAGTACTTTGCTCAGTGGTGCTTGCCTTGTGGTGCTCAGAGCGCTTGCCTTGCATGTATGAGGCCCTGGGTTCGATTCCTTAGCACCACAATAAGCAGAAATAACAGAAGTGGTACTATGGCTCTAATGGTAGAGTGCTAGCCCTAAGCTAAAGAGCTGAGGGACAGTGCCCAGGCCCAGAGTTCAGGCCCCACAACCGACCAAAAAAAAAAAGAGAAAGTTCAAATAATTTCTGCACAAGCCACAGCAGACTGAAGACAGAGGCAGGAGTGCTACAAAAGAAGTCAGAATGCACTGAAAGTATTTTCTAAAATTGTGCCAACCAGCCAGTACCTGTGGCCCACGCCTGTAATCCTAGCTACTCAGGAGGCTGAGATCGGAGGACTGCAGTTCAAAGCCATCCTGGCAGGAAAGCCCATGAGAGTCATATCTCCAATTAACAGCCAGAAAACCAAAACTGGCTCAAAGTGGTAGAGTGCTAGCCTTGAGCAAAAAAGCTCAGGGGCAGTGCCCAGGTCCTGAGTTCAAGCCCCACAACAACAACAACAACAACAAAGAAAACAAAAAACAAAACTGTGACAACCATACTCTGAGGATACTCATTTAGGATCAGTTATACTGCAAACTGAAAGCTGACCATGAAGGTGAGCGATACTAAACTTAACTCCTTTATTGAGGAACAGCAACATTTCAACGAAAACTACACTAAAATTATGGCAGTGTGTGGAGCAATCAGAACTTGGTGGGGAAGTCGTCATTGCTTCACCTTGGTTACACCTAGCAAAGGGCACCATCAAAGTCTCTCCCTGCTGGGTACCCCATTCACCAGCGCAGCAGGCTCCACCTTCCAAATGGAAGTGGACAGATCCTCTTTCTGTTCTAAAACACCTTTCATTTGAAAGGGCAGAATTTATTGAATAGCTGCAATGGTGGAGGAGGGGGAGTCACAGACATCTCAGCAAGTATAGATAATCTGAGTGTAGAATGTACTTTATTTTTGGAGCAAAGCACTGGCGGCTCACCCCTGTAATCCTAGCTACTCAGGAGCTTGAGATCTGAAGGACCATAGTTCAAAGCCAGCCCAGGAAGAAAAGTCCGAGAGACTATCTCCAAATAACCACCAAAAGAGCAGGACTCAAATGGAAGGAAGCAAGCCTAGTAAGAGCCAAGCTCTGAGTTCAAACCACACACCACACCACACACACACACACACACACACACACACACACACACACTTCATTTTCAGAAAAGGGAGGAAAATGTTTCATAGAAGACAGCATGAAGGTTAATGAGAAGCTCATACCAGGGTAGGGAGACTGACTCACCAACATGTAATGTCTCATAGTAAAACTACTAATTTTTTAATGTTTAGAAACCCTAGGCCAAAGCGAAGGTTTGGCCAAATTACAATCTGAGAATCAAGGTTTAAAGTCAGCCTGAGCAGAAAAATTGGAGAGATTCTTATCTTCAATGAACCAGGAAAAAGCTGGAACTGGAGACATAAATAAAGCTTGGTAGAGCGCAACTTTGTGGTAAAAAGCTAAAGAAGAACATGAATCCCTGAATTCAAGCCCCAGTACCAGCACAAAGAAAAGGAAGGAAGGAGGGAAGGAAGGAGGGAAGGAAGGAAGAAGGAAGGAAGGAAGGAAGGAAGGGAGGGAGGGAGGGAGGGAATGAGGGAGGGAATTAATGAGGGAGGGAATGAGGGAGTGAGAAATAAAGAGATAAAGAAAGAATGAATGAATCAAAGAGAAAGGAATTCAAGAATGAAAAAGAAAGGAAAGAAAAGGAGAGGGAGAGACAGAGACAGAGACTAGGCCAAACTATCAGAGTACATAAACATGTAATGTAGAAAAAATAAGTCTACTTGTCCTGCAAAAGTATAAAATTACAAAAAGATCAGTAACAGAAAAGTTATTATACTCACTATATTTTAATCATACTCCACTTAATTATAATTAATAAGATTGAGATGACTAATGACTAGATAATTCATGCAAAAAATATATTAGCCAAAACTATTCAGTGATAAAAATCTCATCTACTTGAAATTGCATTCATGAGTCATATAATACCATTTATTACGCGAATATTTAGAGTGGTGCATCTACTTCTTTGCAGGCCCCAGGGATGATGTTCCATCTCTGTTAATAGCACTTTATTTCCTGCCAACTGGCTCTTTACTGTTTAAGCACACTCTCAGTACCTTAATAGAATAGGCCTTAGAACTAAAGGTGGAAAAAAGGAACCAAAGTTTCATATGACAAGCAATAAAAAATATAGAGAATGTTAGAAATTGCATGAGTAAAAAAATTTAGTAAGTGGTTTGCAAAGCTAATGAATGATAATTATAATTTTAAGTTACCTTCCTAAAACAAAAAGAGAGGAGCAAGGTTTGCTATTAGAAGAAAAAATTATTCTATGTGGTTCTAGGTCCAAGAAAGAACATTTCCAGCAGGGTCCCCATGGTTCACAGCTATAGTCTTAGCTACTCAGGAGGCTGAGATCTGAGGATTGCAGTTCAAAGTCTTCATGAGACTCTTATCTCCAATTAACCACCAGAAAACCACAAATAGCATGGTGGCTCAAAGTGGTAGAGCACTAACTAGCCTTGAGCAAAAAGAGCTCCAGGATAGCACCCAGGCCCTGAGTTCAAAGCCCATGACTGACCAAAAAAGGAAGAAAGGAAGAAAGAGAGGGAAGGAGGGAATAAATTTCCTTCTGCAAGTATCTGTTTAACACTTCAACACTGTGGCTGTTGCTGGTGTTTTTTCATTTCATCCTAAGCATATTTAACTTTACAGTATAGCCTTGAGATGATGTCTGATACATAAAATTGTATAGCAAGCCCAATTTATCCAAACATTCAGAAAATTTCATCAGATACTGAGCTGTCACTGAAAGAGATTTCATCTTTTCCCTTGGTTCTTGGCTCAGAGCTCCTTAAAAACCCTTGGAATTCCCTGGGGGGTGGTGAGGACGATGGGAGCCATCTGTTAATGAATGGGCTCTTGGCCAAGCCCCCAGTAGATGGGGTCTGGTGGCCAGAAAACCTATACCTGAGTTAGAAGCTTGAAACATCAAGCCCACTCTTATTTCTAGGTAGGAAAGAGACACTGGGGAGTAGGTTAATGCCCAATGTCCTCATCAATCATGTCTCTGCACTGAATCCCCACAGAAACCATCAGAGGACCCAGCTAGGCGAGCACATCCATGTGCTGGGATGGTGGTGTTCCTTCCCCCAGGTCCAGGGCACAAAGACTCTCATGCATGGGGTGTTTCCATCACCTTATGCACATCTCCTCCAGCTCCCAGGGGCAATGGGCATTCCCTAGCTGTGGCTGTGGCCACATCATTCACTGCTCCATGCATCTTTTCATCTTCTTTTCCTCTCTGTCTCTCAGAAGAACATTTATCACCCAATTAAGGGGCCAATCAGACCATCCAGTATAATTTCTTCATCTCAAAAGGCCCTGGATCCAAATAAGATTACATGTATACATTTCAAGGACAGCACAAGACATGGCTTTTTAGGGACCACCATTCAAAAACCTACACTACTTTTTCCCTTCTTTCTTGTTTTGGTCTGCTTTGTGTTGCTGTGATTTATCTGGCTTTGTTTGAGATGGGGTCTATGTCAGCTCAGCTTGGTCTAGAACTCATAATCTTCATATTTTTGGAGTCCTGGGATTACATGCCCATCTAACTACAATTGCTTGTCTCCCCCTTTCTCAAATGTGTGTGTGTGTGTGTGTGTGTGTGTGTGTGTGTGTGTGTGTGTGTGTATAAAACCACCAAGCACCAGTGACTCAGGCCTGTGATACATAGTTATTAAGAGAAATGAGATCTGAAGGACTGAGGTTCAAAATGAACCCCAGAGAGAAATCAAGACTCAAATCTTAAAATAACCAGCAAAAAGCCAAGTTGGAGGCATATCTCAGGTGGTGGCATACCAAGCAAGTAAGCAAGTTGTACAAGCATAAGGACCTGAGTTCAAGCACTGATACTGGAAAAAAAAATTTCAAGTTGAGGTACAACTCAGCATACAAACTTGCAAAGCATGCTTTGATTCCTGATATAAATAAATTCCTTAAAAGAAATATATAGTAATAAGAAATTAATATTTTTAAGGGAGA